AGTTTAAAAAAAAAATAATTTATTCTAATTTTTTTTCTTTTCTTTTCTAATGGATATTTTTTCCCTACAAATTCAACGCTTTTCGTTGGTTGAAGTTCTGCGAGATATCTCGCTTGAAAGAAATGGAAAACGGAACGATTACCAAACATTTCCAAAGATAAATAATGCAACTTGAAACTTGAGATGCAAAAAAAAGTAAACTAAATTTATCTACAAGGTGAAATGTGAGTAAAAAAAAGTTTGCCGGAACTCAATTTAAAGCGACAACACTTAGAGATCGAGTTTCTGTAATGGGGGACACGCGTCTTTCTAATAGACTCAAGGGACACAGAGGAGTGTTTTTTTAGGCCCCAGGTGTAATAAAAACTTGTTTCCTTTAGGAGAATTTTGAAAAGTAGGATTTCTTTTTTTTATTTTTTTGTAACAAAATATAGGATTTTTCTTGTATCTGCTCTCTTTCTCGTTATAGTGAGAGGGAGAAATCGTAAGCAGTGCTAGGAAAAATTGAGGACTCGAAAAAAGTTTTTGAAAATAGTTTAGGCGAGAGACAACTTCATCAATTATCAGTGGAGTTAGACCAAACTATTAAGATGTTTTAATCTCCTCCTATTTAAAACTGGATATAGTTGCAAGATATGTTTTTGAAAAAAGTTCATCGATGTTACGCGTTCATAACACGATAAGGTATTTAATTTGAAAAGAACAACTAATATATTATGTTTTAAAATAAATAAAAAAGAATTGTAAAAATTAAGAGCTAGATTAGGTATATCCAAAGTATTATTTTACTACACAATGCTCAAAATAGCAAAATATCAACACATTTCATAGCTTCTTGGGACCCATTCTTAATTAAAAAGGAGAACTTCACCTGATATATAACTTCACCTGATATATATATATATATATATATATACATATATATATCAGGTGAAGTTCTCCTTTTTAATTAAGAATGGGTCCCAAGAAGCTATGAAATGTGTTGATATTTTGCTATTTTGAGCATTGTGTAGTAAAATAATACTTTGGATATACCTAATCTAGCTCTTAATTTTTACAATTCTTTTTTATTTATTTTAAAACATAATATATTAGTTGTTCTTTTCAAATTAAATACCTTATCGTGTTATGAACGCGTAACATCGATGAACTTTTTTCAAAAACATATCTTGCAACTATATCCAGTTTTAAATAGGAGGAGATTAAAACATCTTAATAGTTTGGTCTAACTCCACTGATAATTGATGAAGTTGTCTCTCGCCTAAACTATTTTCAAAAACTTTTTTCGAGTCCTCAATTTTTCCTAGCACTGCTTACGATTTCTCCCTCTCACTATAACGAGAAAGAGAGCAGATACAAGAAAAATCCTATTTTTTGTTACAAAAAAATAAAAAAAAGAAATCCTACTTTTCAAAATTCTCCTAAAGGAAACAAGTTTTTATTACACCTGGGGCCTAAAAAAACACTCCTCTGTGTCCCTTGAGTCTATTAGAAAGACGCGTGTCCCCCATTACAGAAACTCGATCTCTAAGTGTTGTCGCTTTAAATTGAGTTCCGGCAAACTTTTTTTTACTCACATTTCACCTTGTAGATAAATTTAGTTTACTTTTTTTTGCATCTCAAGTTTCAAGTTGCATTATTTATCTTTGGAAATGTTTGGTAATCGTTCCGTTTTCCATTTCTTTCAAGCGAGATATCTCGCAGAACTTCAACCAACGAAAAGCGTTGAATTTGTAGGGAAAAAATATCCATTAGAAAAGAAAAGAAAAAAAATTAGAATAAATTATTTTTTTTTTAAACTATTAATCTCATCACTTTTCTTTCTATTACTAAGACAGTGCTGACTATTTTTTACATTAACAAAATTCAACTATAGAGTTCTTTTTATGAAAAGATTCTACACGTAGGCATAATGATAAAATATGTAGAAGCGATTCCACGTCAGAAACACAGCTAGTTGTACTTTTGCTCAGAGATTTCCGTATGAAAATGAAGAATATTTCTTGTTTGTATTAATTTTGGTACAAAGATATTTCTAAACTGTTCGAAATTTCTCAGATAAAAACTTAATAAAAACTTATTAATAGTGTTATTTTACCATATTCAAACAAAACAGTCAAATTACCATAGATAAGATTATATTCAAATTTGTAACTGTGAGATAAATAGTTTATTAATGGCTTCCATCCAATAAGTTTAAATAACCAGAATTTTATCGCACCAACTTGATCTATCCAATAAAGCCACTTAGTACCTCGCATCTTGGTACATATTACAGCCTTATTCATAGGTTTTGTTCAAACAAATTTAATTTTCAATTGTAATAATGTTTAGTGATTATAATTCCAGATATGTGATTTAATACATATTATTTAAATCGCTTTTTAGAGCACTGTGAGACAGTTCTCTGTCAAAAGGGTTAAATAACAATATATTATATCGTTTCTTTTTACTATATTCAAGCAGTTAAATAGCGATAAAAAAAGAAGGTATTCAAACTGTTAACTGATAGAAAAACCGTTCATTAAATGCTTTCTACCTAAAATGGTTAAACAACCAAAGTTTTATCACACTGACTAGACACACCCAAGGCAGCAACTTAGTTCCTTGTATCTGGATATATATATATTATAATCGTACAAATCTGTCAATCTCATGACCGGAAGAACGGTGGTCCAGTCTCAAAAATGACATCAAAATATTTCCCTCATTCCCTTAAACCCATGAAGAGTTTCCATTGTCCTGTACTTCCCATTTTGTAAATCTGGGCTATTAAAATACGATGCATAGATGGCGGCACTATAAAGCTTCTAAATTATCTCCATTGTTCAACTAAGTTTCTTTTTCACAGTTCTGAAACCATGCTAGTTGCAAATGGTAAAAAAAAACAGTATTTTTTCATTTTATAGTATTTTAACTATACTAGTTGTAAATAGTTTCAAAACCATAAAGGTATAAAGTTATTTACATTTAACTTTATTATCAGTTGGATGGACTGACTACTAACGGATATTTTACTATAATTTTAGAAAATAAATTCTATTATATTAAAAATAGCATAAAGTCGTGTAGTAAAAAAACTGAATAAATAAAAAAAAAAATTAGCAGCTAAATTATCTAATCTCATTCATTACATGCAGGGATTTCTTCNACTTCATATATATATATATATATATTACAAAACACATAGAAAATGGTAACGCACACAATATAACAGTCAATCAGATTTGGGAATGAATGCGATTTAAATTTTTAATAATTTTTTAACTTTTCATAAATGATGCTGGCTGAAATTTCTTAACAAAACTTACTAAAGCTTTCCAGCTAAAGCTTTTGTTTGTAAACTTATTTGACACTTTTCTCAACAGGTAAAGTATATTTTTAAAACAGGTTATCCAGCTTTCACGACAATCGTAATTGAAATAGGATATCGAAATTTTCGAATGGCCTCACCTTTTTTTTCTACGATTTTACCTTTTTCAAAATGCGCTTTTTGTAGAATTTCGAATGTAGTTGGAACGACATTTTTTGCATGTATAGTTTTGAAGCTATACAGATACAAAAATAGCTAGTGTATCGGTAACAAATCATTGAGATTTCTTCTTTTTGCACCAACAAGTTGCACAAATTGGTGCAAAATTACTAACTTACTTGAAGAATAACTTATATAGGATTCTATTTTTTTTTATAACTAAAGAGTTTTTCTGGTACCTGCTCATTTCCTAGTAACAGTGAAAGGGATAAATAATAAGTTTCGATAATAATATTTGGAGAAGAAAAACTTTTAAGCAAGCGAAAAACAGATTTTGGAACCATATTAGAGGGGACTATGTTACATTATATTCATCAATTCTAAGTGGATTTAAATGAAACATATAATATATCTTAATCTCCTCTTTTAAAAAGAATATATTTCCATTTCTTTAAATGAATATGCTCGACAGTTTGTCCTATTTTTAAGACAATATATACAGAACATATTTTTTTCTATTTTCAAAATTAGGAAGCAGAATATTTCGTTTAAATATTAAACGGTAGCGAAAATTCTTATATCTTGCATACAGGTTCATTGGTTGAAGTTTTGAAAGACCCATTTGTGTTTAGTTGGGTGACTCCGGCTGCCTTGATTTGCGGTATTGCTTTGTAGTGTATGTTCTAAAATCCTATGTTAACTCGATGACCCGATCAAAAATTCTATCTTGGCATAAGATTATGTTGTCCTTCTGAACTTTGTTAAAATTTCAAAATATTGATGACCGTAAAGCCCAGTTCAGGAAAAGATAGAGTAGTCTATAGCAGATTCTTCAACCATTAAAATTTGCTTTTAGAAATTGAAATAAATTGACCGACAGTTTCTCTCTCACATGATTTTCGATCCTTTTCTAAAAATATGTATGACAATTCTTGCACCGTAATAAATTGAATAAAATGTTTCTTAATCTTTTACATTACACTGCATTGTTCCGAATAAAATTACGGTAAAATATACCAGGACTCATGATGCCAGCCCTTCTTACCATAAAATCCATTTTTGCGGAACATGTTACGGAAAAAATATGATGTAATGTAATTTTTTCAGTAATAGTTATCGTAAAATCACTGCATCACTATTTAAATAAATATTACTGTAAAAAATCTCGAAACATCTCGATCGTATATTTTGACTTCATTATTGATAAAATGAAGTAAATAACATGATACAAGTAATCCTAATTACAAATTTCAGATGGGTATGCGGTAACGGTATAGTATTTTACGATAAAAAAAGATTTCATTAATCATGCACACAAAGTCCCGGTACTTTATACTGTAATTTGCTCTGGAATTTTTGACAATATATATCCAGCCCGCCGACATTTCTCACAATAACATAGATCGGTACTCTGTCTACAAACTATAATTTACTGCTTGTTAACTGTTGTTTATAATAATTAAATTAAATTAAATGTATATATAAAATCTTTTTTATCTTCGTATTTACGTTATTATTTTTCTTTCAGAATATAGTGAAATAACGGCTGTACTAGGCTCAGAAATCCATATTCCGTGCAATGTAACAGCTTCCCTACCAGATGATCAAGTGACGTTGATATTGTGGTACAGAGGCGATTCAGGAAATCCAATTTACAGTGTCGACACTCGGCCAATTCATGGTGGTGAATTTCCAAAAAAATTTGCCAATAAGCATTTAGAAGAACGTGCAACTTTTAATATAACTAGAACTCAAGCAACTTTAAGCATAAAACCTGTTAGAGAGAATGATGGCGGTGAATACCGATGTCGAGTTGATTTTAGAAGATCGAGAACAATGAATTCTGTTATGAAAGTAATCATAATAGGTAATTATGCTAAATATTAATGGTTTGCATGAATATAAAAATATTTTTATTTTCTTTAATGTTTTTCAAATATTTATTTCATTAATTCTGTGATGTTTTGACCATGGAAGTATAAATAAGATTTAGAGTGCACTCTACTTTTTTTACCATAGTTTGTCTAAAGTAAGAACTCCACTAGCCATTTGTCTGGACCCGTGGCGGTGACTATGGTAACGAGGTATAACTATTTCAAGTTGGGGTGTGGGGTAATTGCTTAGGACTGGTTTTGGCTTGGGTAAACGAGAGGAAGGGAATCTTTTTCCTCAGTCTATTGTTTTATCCCCAGAGTGAAGCTGCCCTCCCTGAAATGCGCTGTTCTTGTTTCCATAGCAGCTGACGTAATTAAATCTTGTGGCGGGGGGTGTTGTAACCACGCACAAACTATATAGTTTTCCTCATAGAGCATATTGATTACCCCCCAGAGCATATTGATTACCCCTCAGATGCTTTTTCCTCGTACTTGAAACACAGTTTTTATATAAGTAATTCAGTATACTTATTGTACATATTTAACAGTAAAGATTGCTGTAATGTCTGAAAATACAGAGAGGCCTATCTTGGTGCTTCAATAACATATTTTGTTAATTAAAAAATACAGAAAAATATAAGTAGAAATATTTATCCTTATAATAATAATTCAGCGATGTTTTGACTCGTGGAAGTATAAATCATTATTCGTTCCCCATTCTTCCTTATAGCCTTTGCCGTCGGCAATATTACTTACCCCTAGAGAACAGCCAAAGAGGTTTTTTACTCATGTATCGAACACATTTTTTAAAAAAATAACCTATGCTATAGTATTCATTGTAGCTATTCTTTAAGCAGCATGGATTGCAGTTACGTCTGAAAATATAGAAAAACCAATGTTAGTGCTTCAAATATGTATATATTTTGTTTAATGAAAAAAAAATACAAATATATATGTATATAGTTTTTTTTAAAAAGTAATGCAAAAATGAACAAAATATATATTGCACCGATTATTATATTATTATTTATCTTATAAAGATTTTGCTATAAATTTTGAGCAGACATGCAACTTTAAAGTTGGAATATCTTAGAGGATAAGATAAAAAAAAATAGGAAAACATGCTTTCACTACGAATAAAAAAACTAAGCTTTTCGAAATGTGGTAATTTAAAATAAAAATTAAAGAATAGAGAGTCATAGCTCTATAGCTCTATTCGCTAAGATACATACACTGGAAACCGTAATCCATTTGAAATATTTTATTAACTAAGCAGCATAAAAAACGAAAATCACTTTTCACAATTTTTCTCAGAAATTTTTTTTCCTCATTTATGATTACTTTAATCCCTATTTTTACAGTAATTCAATTTTGAAAAATCTATACAAAATTAAAACTAAAAAAAAAAACATTTTTCAAAGCTTTTTATTGTGGATATTTATAATCTTAATGAATAGAATGAGAAATAAATCACAAACATAGGTATCTGTGCTCTTTTTTATTAAGTGTTATAATGTCATACAAAAAACTTTACAAAGATCTGGATTTTAAAAGTGCTAATACTTTCATACGAATTTATATTTTTTGAAAAGCTGATATAAAATATTAGTTGGTACCAGCATTGCTTCATAAACTCCTTTACAAGTTTTTTTCTGTGTTTTTCAATCTGGACATTCAACATAAAGCTGTTTTAAAAACAAGGAATTATTTTTTTAAATAAATATAAAATCAGTTAAGGAGATTTATAACATTTTACCTCTCCGCAAATATTAACAAATGAATAACTAAATTGTTCTAAATGAAGTTCTAAATTGTTGTGCTCTCTGTTCCACAGTAAAATAATAGTTAATGGAGGTCAGTCATTCTTAGGCGTTGCCTTCATGGACTTCAAAATGTTATCGATTGTAAATGATTTTTCGCAAGTGATTTTGATTTCACTCAGTATCATTTTTTTGGTGCGGAAAGGAAACTTGTGTTGGCTCAATGAAATCGGATCGATGAATAAACTATACTGTCAATAAAACTAATTCCCACTGAAATAATTATGTCTTAGAACATATTTACCAAAGATGAAAGACTTTACTATTTTAAATAAATAGCCAATTATGTTTTTTTTAAAGTCTGCATGTAAATTTATATCATAAAACTTAGTTAGCTTTAATAGCTTGCTTGTTTTAGAGGCTTAGTTTTTATTTTTTTATTTTTTAAATAACTTTGTATAATTATGATTTAACTTACAACCCTAAAAATCATTGATAGCATCGTCTTAAGTGTAGTCTACAACATAGGGTTATAGATAACAATTATGTTTTTTGCTTAAGTCTGCCAGTAAATTTATATCATAATTAGTTAGCTTTATAGCTTGTTTGTTTTAGATTTAGGTTTAGTTTTTTTTTCTGAGATAACTTTGTATAATTATAATTTAACTTACAATCCTAAATATCATTGACAGCATCCTCTTAGGTGTACTCTGCAACATAGGGTTATAGATCTTTTTCAATGATTATCAACAAAAAAAAAGCTCTCTAAATGAGCCTCACGAAAAATTTTGAATAGGATAAACTAACCAGTGAAGGAACACTTAAGCTTCGCTTGCCTTTTAAAAAATCATATTAATTTCAAAATTCGTAATTTCAGTTAAATGGCAGTGTCAACATATTTGTTACTAATTGCAAATTATGCAAAAAAATTGTAGAGAACTTACATAATATTGTTTTAAAGTTTTGGAGGTTCAAATAACAAGTAGTAAGAAGACCCAGTGAAGGAACAGCTCTTACCAGTGAAGGAACACAAAATTGCCCAGTGAAGGAACACTTAATTTTGGTTATTTTTTAATGCTCTTTATGAATTTTTTAGCCATACACATATATAAAAACAAGACTATTTGTGAAATTATAACATACAAGTACTTGTAAAATGCTAACTTTTTTCTGTAATCATGAACTAGAAATTAAAGTGATGTTAAATACAAAAAAAAATAAAAAAAATCATTCTTTCTTATAATTTGACAGTCAAATCTAAATCATTGTGTCATCCGATGCTGTTTATTATCATTATTATTTAATCACCTTTTTGTTTACTCTTTTTCCTCTTATTTCTTGAAGCTTTTTTTTCCTTTTTAAATATTTTTTCTTTCTTTTTCTTTTCCACGTTCTCTTGTTTTAACTTTTTTTAGATCTTTCAGCCTCTTGAAATTTTTGCCACTTCTCTGAAGTTAGTGCAAAAGGTAATTTATTCGTTTTTCTTCTTATTTGACCTTTCTTTTTATCATCAATATTTGGCCAATGTAAATGGTTCTTCCAAACTTCTTCTGATTTTTCAGCAACATTTCTAGAATGCCTTTCTCGAAAATAGATGGGGGAAAGGTGTCTTGAAGTTTGAGGCAAATCCATCTCTTGTTAACATATATCTAGAGGATCTTTAGAAGTACTGATTTTACTTATAGAATCATTTCTTTTTTTAACTAAGAAAAGATCAGCATGAGGACTCATTTCAAATTCGATATCTAAGATGCATTCATTATCAATACTAGCTTCAGTTCCTAAGTTTGACTTAACCAAGTGGTCTTCTTTTAATACGTACTTCTTCCATATTGAAAAAAGTTAACTCTGTTTTTTGTTGAGGAGCTTGCTTTTAAATTTTAACATTGTAAAGCAGTTTTTATAAATTATATAATCACGTTGCTATCCTATAATGATAGCTTATTAGGAGTTCTTGGTGCAAAAGCCAGCGAAAAAATGTTCTATTAAAATTTTTATGATTATATTTAATTAGTTTTCGATTTTTAAACATAGTTTATTAAGTTGCTTAACATTTGATGTAACTACACACCCCATTAATAAATATAAATTATAGTTATTTCATAAATTAAGCTATTAAATTAACATTTTGAACTGAAATTATTTCAGGAATTATTCATACAATTTTTAACAAAATTTCGGTTGTCCTCTATATAGCAGAATTACTTATCCTAGAGTCATGTAAAATCATATTTCACACATTACTGTTCATTCACTGGAAGTATTCCCAGTGAAGGAACATGCCTGTTTCTTCACTGGTTAGAAGTTGTTTTTTGTCTTTTAAACAGAATTTTGATGTATAATATGACTAAAAGTACAAGAAAATTAAAAAATTTCTTTTATTTTCATTAACTGGGAGAAAAACCCAGTAAAGGAACACTTGTTCCTTCACTGGGTTTTCATCGTTTGGTGATCCAGTGAATAAACACCCCCTTATCTCAGTACTTGATTATGCTATGGTGCTTTAAAAAAATAAAACGTAACTTCAATAACTATATTTTGAATTCTCTTTTTCACAGTGAGAAAAATAAGACTACTACATGCAATTAATTCCACTTCAAACATATAAATACAAACACTCACCTTATAATTTTTTCAACGAAACAAGGTGTTGCAGAGATAATAACTGATTCAAAAAATTTTCCAGAGAAGTCTATTTGACCAGGTAATCCAAAATATTGCTAGATGACTTCCTATTGTTTGACAGTACGCTATTGCTACCAATCAATCTAAAAAAAAAATTTTCAAATTCTTATTTTTAATCAATATATATGAAACGTTCCTTCACTGGGTAGTGTTCCTTTACTGGTTGGTTTACCCTACATTTGAATATATTTACTTGTTTTGTTAAAATTTTTTTGTTTTAATAATTATGCGTGTTTCCATAATTAACCTCTTTCGCATTTAGCGCGAAAGATTGTCAGGGCGCTGGGAAAGGTTTTGATTCTCTCTCTCAATGTTTTCTTTAACACAAAGTCTATGGAAAAAATTCCGTGCCCCCCCAAAAGTGGTCGTAAATAGAGGAGGTCGTTTACATGGAGGTGGTCTTTCCTGGGGATTTCACTGTATAATGAATAATAGAGGCAATTTGTTTTCATGAAACGATCCAACTTGCATTTCTACTACCGTTTTCTTGTTTTCCAAATACGCAAATTTTGATTCTATGCAATATTTAATGGTTTTTCATGTTATTA